TGGTGGTGGTGGTGATGGTAGTGGTGGTGGTGGTAGTAGTGATGGTAGTGGTGGTAGTGATGGTAGTGGTGGTGTTGGTGGTGATGATGGTGGTGGTGTAATTTTACAGTACAATACAGGGATCACCTGAAGAATCGTCACCCTGTCAAACTCTGGGGTGACAATTCTTCAGGTGATCCCAATACAGTAATAACCCGAGCCTCTATACCATCACCACCTCTCACTGTATCTTCATTATATTCACTGTATTCTGCCTGTAACTCATTATTTTACCTGTAACTGTAGTCAAACACTATTTAACTTTACTGTATCTACCTGTAATGTAATCCGTCCCCCTGTAACTCTTGACTAAACCCACTGTCACTCATAACTCTGTAACCCGGATACAGTTCACCTCACAAACAGTCAGAAATAAAGCTTCTGTAAAAATCATCAATACAGTCAGTCGCTGTATCCTCTGAAGTCTGTAAAACCTCCTTGAACGAGTATATTATTTATGTAACCTGGATAAAGTCGATCTCTGTAACGTAAGATACAGTAAATAGGCTGTATTTCAGGTTAATATCAAACAGTTACATAGATTCTGTTTTCTATACATTAATTCCCGTAACAAGAATATAGTTTTTAAAGTTAGGTTACGTACGACAGGTTAGGTTAGGTTAGGTTAGGTTAGGTTAGGTCAGGTTAGGTTAGGTCAGGTCAGGTCAGGTCAGGTTAGATTATGTTAGGTCGTTATAGACACAATCAACACTCACATATCGACAGTGACGGAGAGGTCAGGTCAGGTCAGGTCAGGTCGCTATAGAGACACAATCAACACTCACATATCGACAGTGACGGAGAGGTCAGGTCAGGTCAGGTCGCTATAGAGACACAATCAACACTCACATATCGACAGTGACGGACAGGTCAGGTACACACACATTATCGTCCCCACAGTTGTTCTTGATGTGGACGACAGCGGTGTGGGTCTGACTCTCGGACGAGGTGGGAGCCAACACGGGCCTCAGCAGTGTGGTGTCCGCCCCTGCTGCCTCCACCAGCCCGCTTACCATCTCCGCCACCAAGGGAGTCAGTTTGTCACGAGGCTCCGGCTGTAATGGAGAGAGGGAGAGAGAGACACGGGATTAGAGAGAGAGAGAGAGAGAGAGAGAGAGAGACCTGTTCATCATCACTCCTTTAGGGGGCGCAAGTTTGACCAGAGACTCAGTGTGTGTGTGTGTACGTGTGTGTGTGTGTGTGTGTCATGTGTACAAGACGCAGTTCCAGATGGTAGAAGATGGATAACAAGTCTGCACACACACACACACACACACCGTTAACGACTCCGGTGGATGTTACAAGAAGGAAAACTTCTCCCGAGTGGATGATGGATGACGACCCAAACAACCAATCATAAAAGGGAATGGTGCCAGCCAATCAAAAAAAAGGGTTGCAACAAGTGATGGATTATGATTGGTCGGCCTTGTACACTACAGCCGTTTTCCCTGTAAGAGTGAGGCCTTATGTTGGTTATACTGGGGTATGTTGGTTATACTGGAGTATGTTGGTTATACTGGGGTATGTTGGTTATATTGGGGTATGTTGGTTATACTGGGGTATGTTGGTTATACTGGGGTATGTTGGTTATACTGGGGTATGTTGGTTATATTGGGGTATGTTGGTTATACTGGGGTATGTTGGTATATGGGGTATGTTGGTTATACTGGGGTATGTTGGTTATACTGGGGTATGTTGGTAATACTGGGGTATGTTGGTTATACTGGTACTGGGGTATGTTGGATATACTGGAATATGTTGGTTATACTGGGGTATGTTGGATATACTGGAATATGTTGGTTATACTGGGGTATGTTGGATATACTGGGGTATGTTGATTATACTGGGGTTATGTTGGTTATACTGGGGTATGTTGGTAATACTGGGGTATGTTGGTTATACTGGGGTATGTTGGATATACTGGAATATGTTGGTTATACTGGGGTATGTTGGCTATACTGGAATATGTTGGTTATACTGGGGTATGTTGGATATACTGGAATATGTTGGTTATACTGGGGTATGTTGGTTATACTGGGGTATGTTGGATATACTGTACTGGGGTACTCACAAAACACATAACTCTCTCAAACCCTCACAGAACAGGCTTAGGTTAGGTTAGGTTAGGTTAGGTACGGTACTCACAGAGATATAGGTGTACACAGTAGTGCAGTTCTCGACAGCCTTCCTTAGGTTCATGGTGATGTTGTTGGAAGACTCTGGTTCACGGTGTAAGAAGAACATCCTGGGCAGGTCCGAGTGTGTGTCCACCCTCACCCACACCGCCATCTCTGACACACACAGGTACACACATATGAGTGTCTAAGTTAACCTAACCTAACTTCATTTAATTTAACCTAACCTAACCTCATTTAACTTAACCTAACCTAACTTCCATCTTTGACACACACAGGTACAAAGATAAGTTTTATGATAGGAGATACGAAACTTAACCTAACCTAACATAAACTAACTTAATATAACTCAAATTAACATAATCTAACGTCATTTAACCTAACCTAACACACACAGGGAAGCTACGAATAGAATTGACTTTAAATTAACCTAATCTCCCTAATCTAATCTAACTTAAGTTAATTTAGATTAGATTAAGATATATAGGGAGATTTAGAGAGAGATTAAGATAGAGAGAGAGAAAAAGATATAGATAAATAGATAGAAAAGACAAAAGAGAGAGAGAGAGAGAGAGAGAGAGAGAGAGAGAGAGAGAGAGAAACAAGGAGAAATAAAGACAGAAAAATACCCCCCTAGCAGAACACCAACATCACACACCAAGGTCAAGGTACTTACGTAGGGTATTGAGGACGCGGTGACCAGTGTAACTCAGGCAGTACTGGAGAGACACACATGGCACCTCGGTAGAGTCCTGAAGCGAACATCCCCTGACGTCTAAGTCCATTATCCCGCTTTTGGACTTGAATCTGTGGCAGGAGGAACGCTAGGTTAGGTTAGGTTTGGTTAGGTTTGGTTGGGTTGGGTTAGGTTATGTTTGGTTAGGTTTGGTTGGGTTAGGTTATGATAGGTTAAGTGGGGGTAGGTTGGGTTGGGTTAGGTGGGTTTGGTTTGGTTGGGTTAGGTTAGGTTAGGTTAGGTTAGGTATTACATGTCTAGGTGAGTCATAAACGGTCTAGGTGAGTCATAAACGGTCCAGGTGAGTCATAAACGGTATAGGTGAGTCATAAACGGCCTAGGTGAGCCATAAACGGTCTAGGTGAGTCATAAACGGTCTAGGTGAGTCACAAGTGGTCTAGGTGAGTCAGAGAGATACTTACTTAATGGTAGCGTTAACCTACACGACGGGTCTAGTGCGGAAGACGAAGGCGCTGTTAGTGTCGTGGGCGCCAACTACCAGGTCGGGGTACTCGTTCCCATCCAGGTCCTCGCCCGCCACCAGAGACCACCCGAAGGTGTTCACGCTATCCTGCGCCAGCAACTCCGACAGTAGTACCTGATGGGGACGTCAAGTAAACAGTTATTAGACAAAAATACCTGCTGGGGACGTCAAGTAAACAGTAATTAGACAGAAATACATGCTGGGGACGTCAAGTAAACAGTTATTAGACAAAAATACCTGCTGGGGACGTCAAGTAAACAGTAATTAGACAGAAATACCTGCTGGGGACGTCAAGTAAACAGTAATTAGATAGAATACCTGGGGATTAATTTGACACCGAAAGCCACACATAAAGACAAACAAAACAAGTAAACAAAAGCTATACCCTCAAACAAGTAAACAAAAGCTATACCCTCAAACAAGTAAACAAAAGTTATACCCTCAAACAAGTAAACGAAAGCTATACCCTCAAACAAGTAAACAAAAGCTATACCCCCAAACACGTAAACAAAAGCTATACCCTCAAACAAGTAAACAAAAGCTATACCCCAAACAAGTAAACAAAAACTATACCCTCAAACAAGTAAGCAAAAGCTATACCCCCAAACAAGTAAACAAAAGCTATACCACCAAACAAGTAAACAAAAGCTATATCCCCAAAAAGTAAACAAAAGCTATACCACCAAACAAGTAAACAAAAGCTATATCCCCCAAAAAAGTAAACAAAAGCTATACCACCAAACAAGTAAACAAAAGCTATACCCCCAAACAAGTAAACAAAGGTTATACCACCAAACAAGTAAACAAAAGCTATATCCCCAAAAAAGTAAACAAAAGCTATACCACCAAACAAGTAAACAAAAGCTATACCCCCAAACAAGTAAACAAAGGTTATACCACCAAACAAGTAAACAAAACACAAAAGCCTGTTCAATCCGACATAAACACAGACTCAACACCAAGACTTGTAAATGGAATAACACCCCAAGTACACCTCCCCTGCCGCTAGGACCGTCCCTGGGTGCCCCTACAGCCAGGTCATCATACCCGTCTCTGTTGATGTCACCCAGGCAGGCAACAGACAACCCGAAGTGACTGCGTGAACGGACACCAGTGAGTTTGACTTTAAGCTGGAAGTTGTGCTGTGGGGTAGAGAGAGGGGGAGTGTGGTTAGGTTAGGTTTGGTTTGGTTTGGTTTGGTTTGGTTTGGTGAGGTGAGGTTTGGTTAGGTTAGGTTAGGTTAGGTTTGGTTTGGTTTGGTTTGGTTTGGTTTGGTTTGGTTTGGTGAGGTGAGGTTTGGTTAGGTGAGGTTAGGTTCGGTGTGATTACGATTGGTTAGGTTAGATTAGGTTTCACTAGGTTTGGATACAGTACATGTTATCAATAAAATTATTTTTCAGTTTAACAAACCACCACTATCTATGTACTGCCTTGACTCTCCAGACGGCCAATAATAAACACATAATCTTATACCTCCAGGTAATGAACACTAATCACCCTTCCTGCTACAGGTGGTACTGTAGCGTGGTCACCATACCTGCGGTGTTTGGGTGTAGAGTGTCACCAGCCCCACCTCGTAGTCCTGAGAGCCTTGAAGGTGTGTGTACCACGGGGCGCCCACAACCACGTCCGCCAGCCTGTCTCCGTTCATGTCACCCACTGCCACACTGTACCCGAAGTATGACCCCACCTGGTGATAGAGGGATATACTGACATTGAAACAGTTTATTTAGCCAGAAAAACACAGATACAGAGTGGAAAATAATAACAATATTAACTTGACTGAGCCAGTTGAGAACCTGAGCTCTCTTTTAGGCACATGGTGTATACTGTACATTTATCTCAAGGAAGTATTATGTAACATTTAGAATCATCTGGAATAGTACAATAGCTTGGTGGTAATAAGAACATATCAGAATGTTACCACGGTTATCACTTCGATATATATATATTTATTTTATGATTATTTTTTACATTTATATTATAAGTACATACATATTATACAGTGGAGTTGATATACATAAATATGATAAGAGAGGGAAGCAGTACAACATGGGTCATGTCTAGTTGGCAATTATATCTATTGCAATGGTAATTTCTGTCTATCTACATAATAATTTCTGATATAATGGTTTTGGTGGTACAATAAAAGTTGGAATATAAAGTAGGTATTACAAAAAAAATTAATACTTATACAATATAATTTTTTTAAGAGATGATTAAGGAAGGGAGTGTAGTCTTTGCTCGGATGGGTGGGGGTAAGTTGTTCCACACCTTCACACCGTGATATTTTATGGAGGTTTGGGACTGAGAGGAGCGCATGGAGGGTGGTCTTAGTAGCTCTGATTATTCCGGAACTGGAAATGATTATTGTCAACCAAGTGATTGACAGTTTTGTAAACAAATAGGGCACAGCAGTAGGTGTTAATATCTTCGAATTTTAACATTTTCAATTTAGCAAATTGTTTGATAGTGTGATCAGTTTTTTCAAGTAGGTCATTGTCCGCACAACTCTCTTCTGTGCAGTGATCAGGGGTTGTGTTTCTGAAGAGCCAGAGGCCCCCCATAGTGTGTGACAGTGTATCAGGTGTTGGTAAGCAAGATTATGATAGATTTCTTTCATTGCTGTGAGAGTGAGTGACTGTCGAGTTTGATACAAAATACAGCACTGTTTATTGACTTTACTTTGAATGGCTTGATGTGGTTCCTCCTGCTAAGTTTATCATCAACAATAACTCTGAGGAATTAAATATTTTGTTCACGTTTGAAGATTGTATTTCCAAGGTACAGGGGGTCCAAGTCTGGGGGTAAGTTTTTCCTTCTGTGAATGATCGTGTTGTGGTTTTTTTTTTGTCAAAGTTTAAAGTCAGTTTATTACGTGTTACCCAGGTCCTGACTTTAGTCAATTCAGTGTTCAGTGCTGGCATAAAGGTTACTATCGTCGGCAAATAAGTTGTATTTTACGAGTGCGCTGGCGTGAACTATATCATTTATGTACAACAAGACCAGCACAGGACCGAGAATGAAACCTTGGGGGGGATGCTATACAAAATTGGTGAGGAGTCAGATTGATGATTATTGTAGCAGACATACTGCTTCCTGTTGGACAGATATGACGTAAACCAATTGTGGGACAGGCCCCTAACGCCGTAATGTTCAAGCTTTGACAGGAGGAGGGTATGGCCGACAGTATCAAAGGCTTTAGAAATGTCCAGAAATATATCGATAAGGGTGAGGAGAGGGAAAAGTGTTATGAACTGATGTTATAGTCACTCACTCCTAGATTTCTTGATATTAAGTCACTGGTTAAGATTCGTTTTAACATTTCCGCCAGTTTCTATAGAAAGAGTTAATGTTTTATTTCTTGGACTTTAGATATAGGTTACGTTACAATTCAGCATTCTTGGATGGTCATTATTTTGGAAGAAATGGCGAAAGATGAATTATTTACTGTAAATATTCCTCGGGAAATCTGCAAAGTCACCGCGTGTCATCTGTGTGTTTACAACCGACCCGTTCAGTACTCTCATGTCCACTAAACAGGTAAAATTACACGCTGACCCCTCCACCAAGTTGCTTTCACTAGTACCAGATATCCAAAAATACTTTCTGTTTAATATGGCAGGGGTCTGGGGGCGGGGCCTCCTGCTAGGAAGTTAGGTAAGGTTAGGTCAGGTTTCTTTGACGTATTAGTTCTGTAAGTTTCAGAGATTTTTTCATAAATGGGGATTTTCCAGAGAAGATGAAGATCCGCACACACACACACACACACACCAAAATACACCATAAAAATATATTTCCTGTAAAAACAAAGGGGACGTTAAATGATTCTTAATTACAAGACTAGCGAGGTCATCTTAAAACTATATCTTGCGCTTGTGAGACCTCACTTGGGTTACGCAGTTCAATTCTGGCCACAGTATTACAGAATGGACATAGAATCCTTGGAAAGAATTCAGAGGAGAATGACAAGACTAATCCCGGGCATTAGGAACCTTGAGTACAGAGAAAGGTTAAAGCTTCTTAATTTGCACTCCCTCGAGAGACGTAGAGCGAGGGGCGATATGATCGAGGTGTATAAATGGAAAGTCAGGGCTGAACAAAGCGGACATTACAAAGGAACTCAAACTATCCAACCAGGAGCAAACTCGTAACAATAGTTTTAAATTAGACAAATTTAGATTTAGGCGCGAAATAGGTAAACATTGGTTTGGAAATAGAGTAGTGGACGACTGGAACAAGTTACCAAACACCATCATTAACTCGAATACGCTTCAAACAGGTTGGATGGATATATAAGCGATAGGGGTTGGGTGTAAATGGGAATGCCCAGTATGGGCCAATAGGCCCGCTGCAGTTTCCTCCATTCGTATGTTAGGCTGGGTTAGGTTAGGTTATGTAATGCTATGGTAGGTTGGTTTGGGTTGAGTTATGTTAGGCTGGGTTAGGTTAGGTTATGTTATGTAATGCTATGGTAGGTTGGTTTGGGTTGAGTTATGTTAGGCTGGGTTAGGTTAGGTTATGTTATGTAATGCTATGGTAGGTTGGTTTGGGTTGAGTTATGTTAGGCTGAGTTAGGTTATGTTATGTAATGCTATGGTAGGTTGGTTTGGGTTGAGTTATGTTAGGCTGGGTTAGGTTATGTTATGTAATGCTATGGTAGGTTGGTTTGGGTTGAGTTATGTTAGGCTGAGTTAGGCTGGATTGGGTTATATTCGGTTAGCGTTAAGGTATTTAATGATCAGGTACAAGTCTTCAGGTGATCTGTCAACTGTGGTAGAACATCATTAGTCACGCACATGTGTAAAGGATAAAAAGTCAATTTCTGAGTTGTAGGTTAAAATTTAATTATTTATTTATTTCATTTATTTACAGGTACAATGCAAAAATGAAACTATTACTATTCCCACTAAACAGTAGTAGCTGTAGAAGGGGTAATGGTGTGTTTATCTCTTACAAAGGCTGTTGGTGCGTGGAGGAGGAAGAGGAGAGGTGGGTCGAGGAGGAGGATATTCATATTGATAATATTTATATTTAACCGTTTATTTACCCATAATAATATACAGAATGGACTATTGTGACGGTATTGAC